CGACTCTAGAATCAGAGTATATATACAACTCTATTTGCCTTAATTAAGGTAATTAAGACATATTTCTCATTGCAGGCAGCCATTTAATTTTATGGTTTGCCAGCATTCAGGTTAGAGTACTTGTTTTCTAATATTACCACAATGATTGTGTGACCTATCTAAATTATTTGAAATATGATAGGCAGCTTTTAATGTAATGTTTTTGTTGTATAAATTTTTATGATCCTTCACTAATAATGCAATAAACTGGACATTTCAGTAGACTGAAACTTACTGGTATAATTCTGCTTTATTTCACTTCAACCTATTAATACGTCTATTTTATTAATTAGTGACCAATTTTCCACTTGTAGGTGAACAATTGTTTTAAAGTTTCATTTATTTAATTGGCTTAAATTGTAGTACAAAATATCACAATTTGTTTTTTAGCTGGTGTATATTGTGCAATCATACTTACTCCTTAAAATTCTGCTGCCTTCTCAAAAGAAACATTCATTTTATGATGGTATCCTTAGGAGCCATTATATAAGGAACTTGTGGAGTAAAAAACTAATACAAGTAGATCATGCAAGATCTTTAGATAGGTAGAGAGGCTTATCTCATAGGAATGCTCCTATAATTAGGCATAAACAAACACCTATACTGTGCCTCTTTCCTCTTTTTTCTTTTAAAGTTGGTAACAGTAATGTATAATTAGAAAGAGAGTACATTTTGAAAATGTTTGTGCAGGCTGAAACCCCACCAATCTAGAGAAATACTCTCAGACCTTTGCAAACATGACAAAAGGCAAAGATTAAAAGGGGAGACAGAAAAATATAACTTAGCTATAATTTTTCAAAGAAAGTCATAAATAGGAGCCCAGATTGATCCAATTCAGGAATATAGAAACATGAACCTAATAGTACTGAGAACAAATGAGAATTGTAACTCACGTTATAGTCAGCCAATAAGATGGATGTAGCATCTAAACCAAGACTATCAACCTTTCATTTCTGTTTTAATATTATGCTTTATCCTTATCAACAGCAAGCATGAGCTCTTCAGCTCCCACCCAGGAAATCTCTGATCTTAGTTTTTTAACCACAACTTGACACAAACCCCAAAGCAAACTTAGTGGTTAGAAACAATTTCCTCCTATGTGAGTTGTCTTACTATTCTATTTAAGATATGATTTCTTTACAAGCATTTGAGTGCCTGTAAACATTTGAGGAGACAGACGGCAAAAGGATCAAGGCACTTTCAAAGAGATAGACGAAATAGATTGAGATGCAGATCAAAAAGAAGAGACACATTAAGGCAACTTTTTAAGTCTGGAGAGGATGTGCCAGTGCCCCCCCCCCCCAATTTTCATTTCACAAGTTTACTTCCAATAGGCAAAGCCAAGGTGCCTTGTATTCACATCCAACCTTTCAGTTTGCCTTCACTGACTTCTTGAAGTCAAAGGAATAGTAGATGCTCCTTGCCATTTTATGCAAGTGTGTGTGTGTGTGTGTGTGTGTGTGTGTGTGTGTGAGAGAGAGAGAGAGAGAGAGAGAGAGAGAATATGTGCATTTCACCTGGCACTATACAAGTTTATTTGCAATGCTGGTGGGCAGGGAAAGGAAACAGCTTGTACAGACTGGTCTGCCGAGAATATATTTCTTACACGTTGTGTTTTACATTTAGGCACGTCTATTGGCAGATTAGAACAGGATATTAGCCAGTTAAGATTTGAAAGAAACGTGAATTAACACCCTTCAAATTAGCTTAAAGGCTAAATCATAATTAAAGTCCGGTAAGCTTCATCCTCCACTGCTGTATTAGACATTCTCTACGATCCTCCACGGGTTACTTGAAGTAAGTTCGAGAAATCTCGAAAAGACGCTAGTGTCCGCTAGTTGTCTGCGCTGGTATCGGTATAACTTCAAGACTTTTCTTTTGCAGGGATACGTGGGCACAGGTAATGGGGCTTCTCTGTTAGCTCTCTGTAGATCAGTCGATACAATCCCGGGAATAATCGGAGGAAATGCGAGGGAACCGTGGGCATCTCTAGTTGCCCACTGCCCAGGTGACGGTAGCAAGGTGCTTTTCAGGAGCTCAGTGGCGTTTCAAGAGTTGGCTGCGGTTTTCTTTTTACACTGAGACATGCACTCACCACCTCTCCCCTCAGCCTCGTCCAGAACCACCTCTGGAGATCCAGAAATTTCTTGGCAGAATTTCCTCAGCTTCAAACGCTTTCCCGCGCTAGTGATTTTTGTCAGGAAGGCTTCGACGGTTTTCAGATTCCAATTTTGGGCGCTCCGGAGTAACTTGGTAATGGTGGGGTTTTTTTTGTTTTTGTTTTGAGGAACTTCGAAGTTTGCTTTTCCCCAACTGGGAGGCTCTTCCTCCTCCTCCTCCTTTTCCACCCCCCCCCCCTCCTTTAAGGGTATCCATTTCACCACTGGCATAGGATACAGACTTATTTCACCTCTCATGGCCAGCACTCAAAATTTGAATACTATTTTGAATTAAACGAGTTGGAAAGCCTACAACTTTTGCGCCTGGATTATTAGAGATCTCTAGCGTTTAGTGTACTGGCGAAGGGATGGTGGTGGTTAAAATTGCATGTTTTCCGCTTGTATTTTGTATGTGTGCACGCGTCCTATATATGTACATATACTTGAAAACCTTACACTGTAGTCCTATCCATTTCTGTTTTCCTTCTCTGAAAAGTAATGGACGGTGAGAGCAATTATTTTTCTTTAGTTACCCAGCCGGCAAAGTAATGGCGGACTTGAGTCTTGCTGCCGCAAGTCATAACCGAGCAATATAATTAAACTTAAAAAGAGTTTACTTTCTCTTTTCGTTTGCTCTGCTGAACTTCTACCGTACCTCAAGAAGTAGCATTTTCCCCTCACCACCATCCCTTTTTCTTTTATTTCTAACGTCACATCTGAATAAGAGTTCTGTGAATCTCGGAAGCTACTTCTCTGCAGCATATACCGTTGTCCAGAAAGTTTCCGGCCCTCTCTTTCTCTCATGTTCTTCAATCGGGAAAAAACCCGGAGAGGGGTGAGGGGACAAAGTAGGAACACGCAGAGGAAAGTCCGTCCTTTCAAAGGCATTACAGTGATGTGGAACAAATTCAACCCTATTTGTTAGTCTTTGTTCTCAAATGAATAGGGTTAGTTACCATTATAGGGTAAGAACGATGAAATATGCTTTGTTTTTCAAGAGGACGTGCGTTGAGAGGTATAGAGGCTACTCAGAAGGCTGAAGGTGAGAAAACTACGGAGTGCACTCTGTTTTTCTTGGGACGGAGAAGAGGCGCAACTTGAGAAGCGGCGGTCAACTAATTTACAACGGTCTTTGGTTGTAGTTCTTCTGAAGCGGCTGCCCAGTTTCACTGTCGCAGCTTCGCTATTTCAGAAGAAAATACTTTCCAACCACCTTGTTAGAATGAGGCCGGCGTGAGGAGCAACCTTGTCAGGGCACACCCACCAAATCAAGCCACTCTCGAGTGAGCAACATTCCTGTTGAGTTCGCGGCCAAGTTATGATCTAGAGAATGGCCACGTCAGGGAGGGATTGGCCGTTGCCTCTCTCTAGGATATTGTTTCCAAACACAACTTGGAATTCCCCCGCGGCCTCCCATCCAGGCCCAACTTTATTTTCCGAGCCCAGACGTAGGAAAGGCAGCCGAATTCACCAGAGGGATACTTCACTTCGCTCATTCTAGCTCATCCGCAAGCATTTTTCAAGCGGAGAGTTGGGTGCGAACAGCGCCAGGCAATACGGTAGGGAGAGAGGGAAAAGCTGCGGTCCCTTTTGCTACACCTCTGCACTTGCAAGGAAGCGTAAGCTAATTTCCCTCTTAGTTGGGACCTTATTTCTGAATAGACTTATTTATATGAAGCCGCTTTGTTAAGTACCGGCATCATTAGAACGGAGCGCGAAGTGCGCGGTGGACTCGCTGCCTTAATTACAGCCACTTTTTTTTTTTTTTTTTGCTTCATCAATCGGGCAACCGTTTGTTCTCCCACCCTCGCTATAACAACTCAGCTGACCTAACATGCCCAGCCAGTGTAAGAGTCCAGGCGAGGGGGATTAAAATGTAAACGTTAAATAAACAAACAAACAAAAAAGAAGTATTGGCGAACAATAGCAGAGTTCCTTCCCTCGCCCTGAGAAAGCCGAGTCAACTACAAACATTTAGTCCATTTATTCCCTTTCTTCCCTTTAGGACGTACAAATCAAATTACGGGGAAGGGGGGAACCTCACAAAGAAGCACCAGCCTCGTGTCCTAAGAAGCCCCCCCCCCCCTTTTTTTTTTATTTGAGCGTCGGCGATTGTAGACGAATATATAATGAAGCGGTCTAAGTTCATTAGTGTTTGCAATCAGCGGCACGCAGACACCCTCATCAGGGCAGAAAGCTGCGAAGAGCCATTCATCAGTGTGAAGTGTTGTTCATGGATGACCCCTAAATCATGGCACTCGTAGTAGATGCACTGATTGGACACAGCATGGGAGACTCAGCACTTTGTATTAACCAACAGAGGCGGCGGGGATGAGAATGGGGGGCGACGCGAAAGTGGTTCAGTCCAAACGACAGGAGGAGGCAGCGAAAGAGGCGACGCGTAGCATAAAACTTAGGCGGGGAGAGGAGTTGCGGGCTTGCCAAATGCCGAAGCAGAGGAGCCGAGAATTATAAATGGTCACGTCCATTCTTCACTGCCCGCGCTGGGGAGGTGGATCTCCCCGCGCTTTATGGTAGGCGCCTCTTTTCTGCGTGTGCGCCTCTCTTGCTCCCTAATAAGGGAGGCAGGGGCTGAAGCGGCCGCCGCCGAGCCAGCTCTCCCTTCGGGGTGCCCCCCCCCCCCCCCCCCTCCGCTTGGCGGCCCCGCCCCCCCCCCCCCCTCCCGGCTTCTGTGGCACTTTATTGGGGGGCCGTGCCTTTCCTTTCCACCCCCCTTTCTTTCGAGGACGAGCGAAAATAACAAGAGTTGGCAACAACACTAAACTCTCGAATCGGGGGAAGGGACGCAGCTCTGGAAGCTGCAGAGTGTGAATTCCCGAGGAGGCTCCTCTCCCCTCGCTGCCCCTCGCCTGGCAGGACCGGGCACGGAACTTGAAACACTTCTCTTTTGCCTCCCATCCGTCCTGCCCTTCCCGTACGACGCCCCCCCCGTTCGGTCGGCCAAGCGGGCGGTGCTGCCGTTCGCCCCCGCGCTCTTGGGTTGACAGAGGAGAGAGGAGGAGGGAAAGTCCGAGTTGAGGCGCCTCGGTAAGTGGCTCCGTCCCGCGCTCTTTGTCGGTCCTAGCGCCCGCGGGCCCCTCTGAGAACCGGAGGAGTTGCGGCGAATAGCCGGCCCGGGTGAGGGTGGGGGGGTTTCGAGGGACGCCCGGGCGGTTCTTTCGAACCTTTCCCAGTTTTCTGACCTAAAACCCTGCCTGCTTGGTGGAGCTTTAGCCGCGACCTGTCTCAGGTGAGGCTTCCCTTTCTCTGGAGTTGGCCGGAAACTTTTCTCCCCCCCCCCTTTTTTTCCCCCCTCCCGTTTTTCTTGGGCTTTTGTGCCGAGGCTCTTTGCCGGCGACAAGGCTTCCGAGAGGATTCAGTTCTTGTCCCAGAGAAAAAGGGGAGAAATGAAGGTGGAGTTGGGGGATTGGCTGGGGAGGCGGGGGGAAAGGAGCTTCCCCTGGTTCGTCCTCTTGATGTCAGATCTGCTCGGCGAAAGGGGTTGCCGGGACCTGTAGAAAATATAGATCTGGTCTGAAATGGAAAAGGACGAGACTCCAAAGAAACGACAACGGGGAGTGTTGGAGGGGTCGCTCGCTAATTCAACTTGATCTCCTCAACTCCTAGAGTGAGGGAGCAGCACCGACATGACGGGACGGACCCATCTGTTGAAGTCCGCGTTGCTTTTGTTATTCCGTTGGTGTTCCAGGTCTCAGTCGGAGGATTTGGCACTTTTAAGATTCAGCAGGTCGCCCTTCGCTGGCGAACTGAGCTGCTCCAGTCGCCTCGCCCGTTACTTAACCGAAGCATTTTCTTCTAAGCCAGTTATAGCCTAGCTTTCAGAGCTGTTGGACTGGAGTGTTCCACATAATGACAGTACGAATGTGACTGCTATAGCATTTTTATCCTGTTTGCCTTCACTCCCAGTTTATCAGTTCGGATGTTCGGGTATGAAGAAGGCTGAAGGTTTGTAAAAGCCTGTTTTGTTTCAACTTGTGTAGAGTTGAGTGTGTGTGTGTGTGTGTGTGTGTTTTTATTGAGGTTTCATTCTTGCCTTAAGAAAACATTATCAAACCTTTTATAGACAGTACCGAATCACTGGATAGGTTATTCATTTTCCAAATTAAACATTTGTAGTTTTACCTAATTTTTCTATACTTCCCTGGTCAAACACAATTATTTTTGCAGTATTTTTCACCAAACTTCATAAATTGGCTATAATTAACAGATTGTTAACTTTCAATTATGCAGCATAAGCAACCATAAAATTTTGTAATAAAATCATAAATTAAAAGATACCTAAATATAAATATGGATATCTAATACATGGCTGTTGTTGCTGTTTGCAGAATTCCAGTGACATGATCTTATTGTGATTTGCTATTTATTCAGTTAATACTCACATACACACACCTTAATAAGTGAAGCTAACTTCTGAGACTTGAAGTGCCAGAATGCTTGCTTTCCTAGCCAAAACATCTATTCTAATATGAACTTGAATATTCTATTGATTAAAGATATACATTCAGTTAAACCTGTTTCTTTAAACTTTGAACAGTAGTTTAAAATCTAACCTCTCTATATATTTAGCTAGATTTATTGTTAAAGCCATTAGGCCACAGTAGGAATTCTTAAGAGATGAGTATACAACCTACATCAGTACCTAGATAACCTTACAGTTATACTCTGTTTTCATGTGTAAAAGAGTGATTACTCTATTCAGCTTGTGCTTGAATAGAAATATGCAAGAAACTGAATTGATTAGATTGAACTCTGTGGCATTTACTGGAATGGTGTATTGGCTTAATTTGAAATACATGTATAAGTATAAACAAAGTTACACTGATTGTAACTTAGAAAACAGGAAAAATTCATAAATGTGTTGTATATAATGTATAGGGAACAGTATACTAAAGATTATATGTAAGGAAATATTGAAAAAAAGTACCAATTCTGAATCTTTAGCTGTTTATTTTGGAAGAATTTTCCTCCAGGTGTTTTTGAAAATAATAGGTTAAATAAGGAAATGATTTATATATCCACCAATGGGCAGATTATGACTAATGTTGCAAGAGTACTCATAATCCAGTTAGTTAAGGTATTGATATTTCATTTAATTTTTAATCAAATTAGAGTTATTGTGGCTTAAAGATTAAAAAAAATGGAACTAATATAATCAGACATTCTGATTTTTTTTTAAAAGTCAAGTGAATTAAAAGAATACTGAGATTTTTAAAAGCTTATTGGCTGCCATATTTAGCACCACCCCAAAACAGTAAACATGGAGTTAAATGTTGTTAAAATGCAAGGATATATTGGGGGGAGGGAGTAACTAGTGTATTTTATCCTAAGCCTAAACCAAGATTCCTCTTTTGCCAGTGTATAAGTCAAGTCTGATACATGATTTGGGAAAGGAAGGCCTTACATATGGATACTAGTTTCGAATGTATACATGACAAACCAAACAAATATTTAATTTAACTTAAGGAAAAGCTATTTAAATATGATTCTTTGGGGAAAAAAATGCTTAACGTATTGTTACCACATTTATTCTTCTGTTATTTTTGATAGAATTAGATAAAAACAGTTCAATATTAACATGGTAGAAAAATGATGAAATCTTTGCAAGCTCCCATGTAATCGAATGTTGAGAATTTTTATGAGATGTATTAAAGCTTTTTATCACTAATATATTACAGAAACAATATTTGCACAAAAAATAAATCTCATAATTCTTGACGTTTTTGTTTTCTTCCCTTTGTCTCTATAACGTTTATTTTAATAGATGCAGCTATATAAAGGTTCTTAACATACAAGATTGAAAAAAGTAGCCTCTTTAAGTTAAATTACACTGTCTTTCCTAAAAGATAGGTTTATCATATCTTTAAAATAATGCTAAATTTTGATTTAAAAAAAATCTTAGTTGTATGTGGCATTTAAAGAGGCAAATTAATATTTAACATAGCACAGATTTTTAGTGTTTTATATGTAAAAGTGCTATTTAGTGAAATATTTTGTTTTTCACAATTTTTTAGAAACTGTTGAAAGTTGTATTTGGATAGTCAAATATGTTTTTAAGAAGTTGGTTTTGAAAGTTGCTAAATATGGACAGCATAGATGCATAGAAAGAGCCTAGCATTTTTTTCTAGTTGAAAATTATGTTTTGAAATATGATTTATTTTTAATATTTCTGTTATTTTTTTAAATAATAGATGGAAATTTCTGAATAATAGTTATATTGGAAACATTTCAGATATGTTGTTTTACAGCATAAAAGTATGCATAAATATCTGCTTTTATGCTGAATTAACTTGTCTAAAAGCAAAATTGCTACATTTTGAAGTCACTTGTTTGAAAACAAGTGTTAAAGATTTTCAGACTGCTGTGTCATGCAACTCTCATCTTACTGGAATCTTAAGTGTCATAGAAAAACTGGGAAAATAGTTTTTTTTAGAAAGAACAGTTTGTTTAATATTTGTTTAAGTTTGACCTTTAATTCACAATTAAGCTGATTTATTAAGCCAAACATGATCAGTTTAAGAAACTGATAATCTGATTATGTACTTACACTTATCACAAAATAAACATTTCCAAGAATAATATAAAAACAATAGCAAGTGAAATCACCTGTTATTCATAAGTTAACTACTTTAACACTACATTGCAGTGTTGGTAGACATTGTGTAGCAGTGAAAAGGTATAGTTTTTTTAAAAAATTATTTCCTAGAAACAGGATAGTTGATGTTCTCATTCTTGCTGTGAAATTTGCATATTTCTTCTTTCTCTGTCTTCTTGTCTCAACTCTGGCAGTACTTGGTTACAAATAATATTTTAATGATGTTGGTAACTATATATAATGCATTTAAAATATGATTTTCTGGAAAAGATTAAAATCCATACATTTAAAAATAAACCAGAGGGTATAATACTAAAGTTCTAACAAAGCAGATATTTAAATGTTTCTAAATATGGGTCTTTTCAGTCATGTGGTATAGGATAATATTTTATATATGTTGAGGTATACTTTTTAGATATGAATCTCAGATTTTTTTTTTGAAAAGGTAACATATTTTGAAAACTACAGTTTACTTTATATAGACCATACAAATATTAAGAGTAAAATGGATCCTGACTGACTTCTTTAGAACCCAGTATTTCAATAGAAAATATATATGTAATGTATAGCATTGCATCCTGCCCCCCAAATTAAATAAATGGTATAAAACTATTTGGAATATTCCCATTAGATTTATTTATTTATTTATTTATTTGATTTGCCAATTGTTTACAAGATAATAAGTATAAGTGTATACATAGTTGTGAATACATGAAATGGGTACATATAAGAAAAATAAAAGAATAAGAGAAACAATAGATGTTTTTTTTTTTTCATTCTACAGTTTGTACTTAATTATTGAAATATCTAAAAAAAGAATGGTATAAAAATATACAGTTAACTTAAATCGATTTTTGTACAGAAAGAGTTAAGTTGATCACAGAAATCTAATTTATTATTTTCTGTGTGAATCTCAAGACATGGGCAGGGGAAAGAAATCTTTATACTTAATGCATTTATTATGACACAAACTCAGAAGGCAGGTTGATACTACTCCAAATGTTATTTCTTTCATTTCTTCAGCATGCTAAGTTATTCTACTAATTAGTGGTCATATACTATAGGATTGTAAAGCTGAAAAAAGTGATTAAATTCAGACTTGATAAATAAAAACAACCACTTATATTAATATTCATGAAATAACTTAAAACTAAGTATAATGTTCACATTATCTGAATTAATTGTAAAGGCATATACTTTTGTTCATTTCTGTATTTTATGTTACAAGGAAACATAAAAGATAAAAATACGGCAAATATCCATATGAACAAAGGTTCTTTTAAAATTAAAAGTTGTGACTGAATAACCCAGAATTTATGCAATAAAACTTCATGTGTTTTTGGTCTTTTCTATAATTAAATACTAAAATTTAAGTGTGCAATGCAAACATGTATTATGGTAATTTATCTTACTGAATTTCTACTTTGAAGAT